TTAAGCTGTTAACTAAATCAACCAAAACAAATACACAAAGTCGAACAGAGAGAGAGCTCTCATTTGCTTTAATTGGAGTCTTGTACTTATATATAGGCTGCGTGGAAACTTCTGTCTGTGGCCTTAAGTTGTTGCTCAGCGATCATTATGCAGAATTATAATACGTGTCCTCTTCATAATCATACAAATGGAAGGTTTTGCGTGCTTTAGATAGAGTGCAAAACCATGATTTAGACGCACATGACTGATTACTCCCTGATCCGAACTTAATGAGGAAATTTATGCTCTTGCATCTCAAGATATGCCATCTTTAAGTGGTTAATCCGACGATTTGTTTTTAAATGCGAAATGTCATGGCATTCCTAATACCTGAACTAACTTCAATCATATGTCTGTGGGACCGCCATGTTGTTGCAAAAGCCGGTGCAATAACCTCCTTTCTCACTGTATTTACACACTTTAGATTTAAAGCAGAGTAATCACAAGGCAGCCACTGTCTGGATGGGGAGGGGTTGAGTTAATTAAAATGGCAAGTGCAGTAACAACCTGCACCGTCACAACAACAGACTGATTTAGACGCAGTGGGATATTAAACAGCTCCCTAACTCACACAACGCAGCCAGGCAGGTAATATTGGTGCTTTCCTTAATTGCTTCTATAGTGCCAGATGATAGGATGTTTCTGGCACGACCCTGAATCATCACCGACGTTCCAGTAGCTATTAGTCCGATGGGGCACTGGAAAGAAATATACTGTAGGGACAAAGCGTTTCGTCCTTTTACCTTTCACAGGCCATATGGCGTTGTTTGTTTTTTGACAAAGAGCGCTTATAGTTAGATACTGCAGCAGGAGCCTATAGCCTAAATGATTCTGTTCCATTGGTAGCGCTGTGCACACTCTGTGGCTCTGGCAAAGGGGCCAGCGCAGGATGTGAGCTGTTTCCATGGTTACCGGCTCCACTCTCTCTGCCTAGCAAAAACTGTGTCATTATCCAGTGCTTTGGATGGAGGCAGAATGAAGCCGCAGTGTACAGGGCAGTTTGCTCTCCTCGTTTCCTGACCATGCATCTCGCGCACATCATCAGAATTTGCATCATTTTCTATCTCATATACCCATTTCTGATATTCCAGGCTTCCCGTTGCAAGTGGCTGTAATTTTTTGGTATAAAGATTTTTAAGCAACACTGGTAATTTAAAGCCGTAAAAGCTGGAATGGAAGCGAAAATGGATGCGCGGCTTTTCATCTCCCATTTTTTGCAATTCGTGAGAGGACTTGTCACAAAGCAATTATTTTATCAACCTTCCATGCACAAACATACTTATTACTGTCAGATGTGCTATTTGATGCCGTGATTCAGCCTTATTGTGGCTTTCAGTGCGGGAAAACAGTTCAAACAAATGATTCCATATCATAATGACTCCATTAGATACTGTCATCACATGTATTCGCAAATAACATGCACAACGAAAATTTGCTGGATGGATGTAAAAGAAAGTCAGTGGTACCAGCCAGGACACATAATGTGTGTGTGTGTGTGTGTGTGTGTGTGTGTGATGTACTAATCTCCTTAGGTAGGCCAGTGTCTGTCATTAACAGAGCTGTGAAACAAAAACTCTCATGAAGATGAATGCCTGTACACTCTCACACCTGTTCTGAAGCGCCTCTCCTGAGTACTACACTCAAGTTGTTTTGCTTCGGGGACAGACCTGAAGGCTTTCAGCCACAGGGATCTGTGTTGGCTGGGAAAATATGAGCATACCTAGCGTCAGCAGCACAGGCTTATCAGTGGGTTTGCTAAGGCAAGCATCACTATTACTATTGCTCATGCTTGGAGATTAAACTTTGCCTCGTACCATGCTATGGATGTGAATAATACTTTTTTGACTATCGACCACCAAGCAACTGCACAGCAACATACAAAGAACCACTCAGTGCAATGTGTTAATAAGAACTCAGGGCATCTTGTGGCTAGAATACACTACAGATCTTTGTTCCAATTTACATTCTGGAGGAGTTGACCAGAAGAACCAGTCTGCAAATTTAAGTTGGCAGATTTCACAATAAATCGCATCGTGTATGATGGTCACAGACTCTGATATTTTTTGGGGAGGTTTTTTGTTTTGTTTTGTTTTTTGCTTCAGACTATGAATCCATCCAGTCAGAGGATATCAAACATGTTTGATATTTTGAGCTGATTTTAGAAAACATATTGTTTTTGTTTGTTATGTGTCTCTTAGCAAAAGGACACGTTTGTGCGTGAGTTTGTTGTAATCGGAAAGACTATAAAGTCTGGTGGTGTATGAACTTCAGTCGTTTAGTGTGTGATGGCCAGTTTTTCTTCTGTAACTATTTCTAAAGTTGGCAAGTATATGATGCCTAGTGGTTTAAAATCTGTTCACATTTTAAAAGTCATGTAGTGTATTCCAGCCTTTAGCAGCTGCATAGCAACTCCTTGGCAACCATCCAAAACACCTTTGCAATGGCACAGGAAAGTGGTAAGAATCTTTGAAGGGCACCTATCATGCCCCCTTTTAGATATAATATATATGTCTCAGGTGTCGCCAGAATGTGTCTGTTAAGTTTTACCTCAAAATACCCCACAGATCATTTATTACATCATTTTAAAAATGCCTATTATGAGTGGAAGCAAAAAACATGCTATTTTCATGCATGTCTCTTTAAGTGCAAATGAGCTGCTGCTCTCGCCCCTTTTCGAGAATAGGGCTGTTCCTTTACAGCTCGTACCTTAGATATTTTGCCAAAAAACATCTGTTTGGTTTTGATTATTATGTCTATCTTGCTGAAATCATGCATTTAAAGCCATATTAGTTTAAACGTCTGATATAGGATTTTCTGAGTGCACACATAGGAATGCACACACAGAAAGCGTCTGTCACACAGCATGTGAGTACTAAACTAAGTTCTCTTTCATGTCTTATTGCACTTAAACTGTCAAGCACACATAAGTTTGTTAAAAACACACAAGTTACAAAAAAACAGTCGGTTATGTGAACTTATGTCTGTGAAGATAAACAGCCGGAAAGAAATCGCACATTTATATTAGATCTGTGTATTAAGTGACAGCAGTGTAATATGCAGTACCTATACTGCTGTCTACATGGACTTGAATTAATAATTTCTGTAGCTGTAATAAGAAGACATTTCTTTCTTGAATGCTGCTTTTTAGCATGAAGATAAACACGGCGGATTGTGTGCAGCTCACTCAGGGCGGTGTCTCTTCTAATACTGCATTGTCCGTCAACAGTCGTGGATGGGGCTTGTAAAATGTGATGTCACATTTTACAGATTCTGCAAACGGCTTGATCTGAGACACTGATTATGATTTATGGGGATTAAAAAAAGTAGTGGGTGGATTTTTATCATTATAGTGTGGTAGTGTACACACACTGCCAACACACATTTATGTCCAAACAACATGTAAAAGTGAATTTTGCGTAATAGGTGCCCTTTCAAAGTACCTTGGTGATATCCAAAACACCCTTGCAAAGGACATAGCAGATCTTAACAGCTGCATGGCAACTCCTTGGCTACCACACAGAACACCCTAGCAACTGCATAGCAACACCCTTGCAACCACATATTGTAATAAGAATCATTCAAAGTTCCTCTGTTCCTCAGCAACTGCATAGCAGCGCCCCTGGTAACCATCCAGAACACCCTAGCAAAGGACAGAGCAATGAGCTCATAACATCCTAACAGCTGCATAGCAACTCCTTGGCAACCACCCAGAACACCCTAGCAATCGCACAGAAACTTGCCAATACTGGCAACCACTCAGAACAGCCTAGAAGCATGTCAGCGAGATTTTGCATATATTTTATGCAAATAGATTTTCATTAGGGATGAAACGAATTTGATGCGTTCTAGCAGGTTCAAAGGTAAAAGCGGAGAAAGCAACATAATCACATCTCTGAGACTAGTTGTTACGCCCTCTTATTTTGAAGTACCCAGCACGGGTTTAAAACAAAGCGTCTTATTGAAGGACTCCTTCCGGCATGCGAGCCCGTCGTGAGTCTTGATTTGAGAGCGTGAAGGCAGGCAACATGTGCTCCGCTCATATGAAAAGGGAGGAGGTACTGCTTGACTGAGACTATGACTCGCTGCCAGGAGAGAGGGAGAATCTGCTAATCAGCGTGTGTCTCTGCTCTGTTGTTTACAGCACCCAACACCGCTCCGTATGGAAGTACAGGAGGCGCTGAAGTCCTGCTGGCCTGCCGGTACCTGATCCTGGCTCTCTCTTCTCTCGTCAGCGTTTACTAGCCCTGGGGACGGCCATACACAATGACTGTAAAGAACCCTTTTGAGCATTTACAGATCCTTTGACATTGCTGATGGCTGGATCCAATCTGGTACAGTGTGTTTGGAAAGCAGCGAGGGATTTTAATCAGCATTTCTTATGTTGGGATGGTAATTTTCTTCTGTGGTGTTTGTCATCATGTAAATACATATGGTTTTTGGGGGTTGGTTTTCTTTCTCTTGTCTTATTTTCTATTCTTTTCTTATTTTCTTTTCCTAATTTCCCACTTTGTGAATCAGCACACATTGTCCCCTTCGAACGCTCACAAATTAGCCGAAATCACGCTTTGGAAAAGTAAGGGTGTGTGACATTAGTGTCTTTGTTATTGAAAAAGGAAAGACGCCCTAGTGTGTCACCTTGCTCTCCGTGCTGGTACATCATTCACATACCCACAAAGTGTTTAAATAGTACGTTTTTTGCCGAGCTCATTTAAATCCAGTGAACCAAGAAACACTGTTTAAGATTTCACAAAGGGAGAGATATTGAAATTGATATCAAACGTAATACAGTCAAAGGCCAAGTGAACAATAGAAGAGCAGCTTTAGTTTAATACGCTAATGCGCGTGTTTTTTCCATTGACGGTGAAATATGATTATTCATTTTCTAGACCAAAACTACTGCCATACCTCAAAGGTTTAGACCTCTGGGCTATAGACCCCAATTGCATTTAACTGAATTATGCAGTGTACGATCATAAACCTTTCTAGTTATTCTAGAAATACATGAATTTGTTGTTTTACTGCAGGAAAAAAATCTAAACCTAGATTGCACTGGAGATTCAAATATGTAATCGTATGAGATACATTTGCCTCTTGTAAAACTATTTGTGAGTGAGCCTAATTGTAAAATTAAAATGAGCCTCTTGAAGTGGTCAAAAGGTTATAAAACAACAAAGCAGAGTTACAGAGCTGTCCTTTCCGCCCTGGGGGTCTTAAAAATGAGAGCTCTAATGTGAAAAAGGAATAGAGAAAATGCCTGTGTTGCATTTGATGTTATATTTAATAAGATATCAAATAAAAATAGCACATAAAAGACATTCTTTAGTTGGCAGCATGCAAAATATTGTGCACTTTGATTAAATGAGGAAATTACGAACAGTGTCTACTGGGACTTATCTGACGATCATTCAAATCATTATTGGCTTTTTTTCTTTAATTTTATGGAGTATGTTTTATGGTTGTAATCATTTGAACAGGATTTTTATAATGTATTAACATATTACCTGCTTTACTTCTGTCAGTGTGAAATAGTTTTGAATAGGGAAGCAGAAAAAAAAGAATATGCACTTCCCTTGTGGGGACAATATGAAACTTTCAAGTGTGGATCCAAACGTGTGAATGAATATTATTTCAAAATACGTATGCAGTATGGCATAGTTTACAATGTTGTCTTTCATTTTAGATGCCACAACTGTTGTTGATTCTTGTCAAACGAGTAGAAGTTGGAAAAAAGAACCGTTTGTAATCAAATAATCTACTTTTAACTCAGAGGGTGTGAACCAGTCATACGGTATAATAGAAAACGAGTCACGTGTGTGTATATTCGAAGAAAGTAGAATTCATTTTATCTTATTGGTAGAGCCAGTGTCTAGGTTTAGTTTAACCTCTACCCTAGTTCCCACACACTTGTTGTATATTAAGATGTGCAGAAATTATAAATGTGCTGCATGTCAAATTAATATGTATGTTAAGGTGGCCACTTACCATAAATCGATAATTTGAGAACAAAACCAGTTTCGAGGCTGCTTTGACTTAATGAAATGTGTTCCACACTACTGAACATCACTAGGCCTGTCTGTTGAGCTATGATGAAATGTTCTTTTCATGTGAAAGTCATCACAGAATCGTTTCCGCTCAGTGTGCAATACTGGGTCCTTTCCTATGGACTGTACTTATGCTATTTGGTTAACGCGTGACGAATTTAGATTCTTTTTATATATTATTTATGCACAAAGTACATTTTCAATGCCAGGAAGTGTCTGAATATTTCACTTACAACAGATATATTCTGACGAAGAATCAGTCACAGAATCATATAGGTCTCACCTGTATGTCCCTTTGCTTATTACAGACCTGAAAGCCTCAAAGATCAAACCGAGGGAAGTTTAAATATTCATCGCTGTGAGGGCCTGGCTCTCGCCGTTGTGATATAAAAAGTAACATTGCACTTGCTTATCATTACCACAAACCTCCATAATCGCAGATTAACACCAATAGCTTTGACAGTTACAGTAAATACGCTGCATTTCAATATTCTGAGTCCACTCTAGAAGCAAGTACTGTATAAAATGTGCCTTTAAAAGTATTAATTGATATGATCTGTTGCCATTCCATGTCAAATGCCATGTCTAAGCCTCATGCATTTGACATTCATAGCTAGAATACCAGACGAATCAGTGTTGCGTAGTATTTCTGGCTTCTAATTAATAGCTGATAAAAGGGCAATTTAAAAAAAAAAAAAAAAAAAACCCTCTGCCATTTTTGAGTTCTGTAAAGAAATAAAAGTAGCACATGCTCTTTTAATAAATATTGTGAATGAAACCATAACAAAGAGCTCATTAAAGCATCATTAAAACTGCGTAAGTGGATATCAAGATAAAAAAAGCAGACAAGAGCATTCATGCATGCATAATTCTCCTGAAAGTTACAGCCTTTCAAAAGAGTCTGTAAATAACAGGCAAATGTGCTGCAAATTTTCACTCTGAGCATCTAATGACTTGATAATCACATTCCTGGACATGCATTAATATTCAATGACGAGTTTCGAAATTTCTCACGTCAGCCAAGCGACAGATATCCAGAATTTGCGTGGTGCCAGTGGTCACAAAAACCCAAAAGGCCGGTGCTATTTTCGAATGGGTTCAAATTACTGCAAGCAGCACATGTTGTGGCCCGAGGAGACCCCTTGGGTTCCAACACCTTCCCGGAGCCCTCGCCGTGTGGTATGAGGTAGCAATTTCGGTACTTTTTTTCTTGAAATCCTATGAGCACATATCGGTACAAAAAAGTCTTCGGTGGATGTGTAACCACACGTGTACGGTCCGAAAAACCCAAACATTTAAGATACTTCGTCTCCTATCTCGAGCGAAGCTGCTGGCGAGACAGAATGAGGGTGGGAGGTGGTATTTCAATGATTAAAAACCTGTCAGCTCCATCTCTGTCTTGGCCAGACTCTTTTAAAAGTCGGTTTGAGAGTGCTGTGTGTGCGGCCAGGGGAGGTGATTCTTCTGACCTGGCAGTTAATAAAATTCTTCCTGTGCCTTTGTCAGTTTCTGGAGGATGATTTTGTGGAGTGCTGGAGGGTGCTGCATTAACCAGCTGTGAGTGCTCACTCTCTCAGCAGCACTCTGGCTGACAGTAATCTACATAAACCTCTGTCCTTTTCAAAACGCTTGCCAGTAATTGCAGTTTTGCAGTATTCTAATTGACTCCACGGCGCACAATAAAGAACAAAAACCTATAATCCTTTGTGACGCCCATTTGGTTTGCGGCTATTATGTTAAACCTTCGAATGATACGAAACTGATGACAAATGAAGCCATGACTGTACTTAGCCGGTAGAAACATCCATTGGCAAAATATTTGTCTGGATAATAAAGTAGCTGCCAAAATGAGAATGAGTGAATTCTAAAGCTTTTTTTGTTCCTCGCCATCAAGTTTTTGTCGGCCCCCTCGCTCGTTATTTTCACTGAGCTGGAAAACAAGTTAGCCAAGCACTGATGCAGTGGTTTTGATAATGCTAAGGTTTTAGCAGAGCCGTCTTTCGCTGAGCTCTGTTTGAAACCGTCGATTGTCTCATATCAGGAGAAATGTTTTATGCGAAATGCAAGGGATCAATTTAGGTACACAAGTCCAGGGTTATCGAAAAACACACCGTTCTCTTTTATTCACAGTTATCGTCTCATTAGATGTTGGTTGGCCTGGTCATTGTTGCTAGCTGTTTTGAATGGCATGGGCTATTTGTGTTGGCACCGTTCATATCTTAAGCAGTTATTTTGTGAAGTGGAATAAGTCCACCAGTGAAACCACCCATCTGCTACTGAGTAATTGAGCACAGAGGACACTCGCCAGAACGGTCCAAATTTACACTAATGCTTTTGGAAAACATTTTGTGAGCTTTGGTTACTTTTGTATATACATGTTTATTTGATTTTGGTACCTTTTATTTTGTTTCGTTCAGTTTGGTGACTAAGTAAAATGGACATTGTAACCATATTGGGATGGCTGTACTTTTATTTCCTCAACTCTTGAAGCTGAAATTTCTGTGATGAGAAATTTGAAATGGTCATCTTTACTTACATGTGTATGGAGATACTTTAGCCACCAGGGATATAGTTGTATATTTTAGGCTCTAGATCACTGGAATGACATATATGGCTTTAAGTGGCATTGATATATATTGATATTGTCAAGAAAAAATGAATCATATACTTTAATTACTTTAAAGCTTACATTGTGTATAGCACGTATGCAAGTTCATTTTCATCATGTTTGATGTAATTTTGTAGCAGTGGTTTGATACTAATAAAATTGGAAGTTGGTGATGGAACTGTGAAATGTGCTTTACATGATACATAATGAAATGTTATTTTAAAATACTGTACCTGCATATGATATAATTTATCAAGAACACAAGTTGGTGTGTTTTATTGCATTTAAAATAAATATGAATACATTTAAATTAATTTCCAGTAATTAAGACTACAGACTCTTATGCCGGAATACTACTTCCCACGTAAGTGAATAATGTTGCACTGTAATAAAATGAAAACAACTAATTTGTTAGCTCATTTGTTAGTTAATTGGTTTATTTTGTCTGTCCCTTTCAATCAAGTGCCATAGCAAGGCCCGTGTAAAGTGCATTTACAACACAATGCTGATCATGTAAGTGACAGTGACATTTTCCATCTTTCATTTTTTTCCCGTCTTTCATGCTAACGTTTGGTTTCTCATCAGGATCAGGAACATAATGTACTGGCGGGTCTGTTGAAGTCTAAAGAGTTAATCCCCGTCAATTTGAATTTCCATGTCAGTGGTACATGGCCTGCTGCACTAGGATCCAAGCAGCGCTTCATGGGAGATGACGTTTTATGTGTGCTGGAAACAAGCTGACCTCCTGCGGCACTAGATGAAAAACCTAAATTGCCAAAAAAGACCATTCCCCAGTTACTACATTTGGTTACATCTTGTGTATTCATGTTTATAGAGTTCATTCTACACTAAAAACCTTTCACCTTTCGTGGTGAAAACACGTTGCGTAAGCGCGGTCACAAAGTGATTCATACCCAGAGTTTAGTGTAGAAATGATTTAGTAGGCTACTCTGAGTCTGTCAGCCTCCTCCCACATCACCGTGACAGATGTCCACACTGCAGCATATTTATCTTTCATTTGGAGATCAAGCCAGGTCATTTTCATTGGCCCTCTTAAAGCCTCAGTTAATGGCCCACATCACAGTGTTCCTTCAGCTTCAAGAAAAAGCTGCACTGAATAAAGAACACCAGTTAGAGGAGATGTAATGTCGCAGTGTTTTTTTGTTTATTTTTTGCACTTGCATCTCAATTTTTAATATAAAATTTCTATATTTATCTGCTACAAATTAAAGTAGAAATATACTGCTCATTTTTTCCACATCATAAGTAGACACGCCCCTTAGTGCTGATTGGCTACAAGTTTGTTTTGCTACTCGGCCCGAATCAGTTTTCTAAAGCGTTTTTGAAAAATAGCTTACCCCACCTTTAAATGAAAACATGGATATCAGTTTAAATTGTGTACACTGCGGGGAAAAAATGATGTAGAAACATTTTTCATTCAGCAATTGCTAGTAAATTTCACAATTAAGTACAAAGAAATGGAAAGCATTATTTTTTTGTAGTAGAAAGACTAATAATAATATGTTCTTTTAAAACATACTCCACTAATCTTTGTTTTATTTACATTTTTATAGTATACCTGAATTTTATGGTAATCAAATAAAGCGTTAAAATAATTATTTGAAATAATAATTTGGATTAGCTAATTATAATTACTTAAAATCTAAATGGTAAAGCATATAGAAAAAACTTCATTGCAAAATAGCAAATAAAATTGTCCCATTTTGTGTTATCTTTATGGGTGCTGTAGAAACACATTGGAAAATAGTGTTACAACTTTCACTATCTTCTGTAATGCTGCAATTTTTTTAATTGTTATTATTATTACTTCATGTATGAAAGCTTGGATGCTGTATATTAAATTAGAAAACCAGATGTAAGAATTGACTTCACAAACAGTCTTCCAACTGCTGCTCTCACCTCAGAAGGGTGGTGGTCATGTGTGATAGTGATTTCACCCCTGTAGCTCAATTCTAATTGGTTAAAGCAATGGTGTTGCAAATCACTCAGTGTGACAACACTCCCCAGTCTCCCCTACTAAGTACTGCTCCAAACCAACAGTAGTCATAGATCAGTGATCCTCCCTGCTGTATTTACAATCAATAATGGAATTATAATTTTTTTGATGTTGAGTATGAAATTTGTGTTCAACTCATTGCTTGTATTCGGACAATGTGGAAATAGTTTTTATTATTTGGTTTAAATTTGTTTGATCTAATGTGTTGGTAAGTCCTTAATCACCCTGATTTCATGAGAAAAAGATATTGTTTGAAATGCTGTGTGGGATTTGTATGTAAATGTATAATTTTTTGAAAAAAAGTTCCACCCCACTCCTAAACATAACCTTCAGTTGTATGAAAATGTACAAATTAGATTGTACAAATTCACCAATTCCCCAGAAAGTAAAAGAAAGTTACAAATTGTCATGAAAGTGTGTTGCTTTAACTATAAATTTGCATATAAATGTCAAATGTTAGCAGAAACAATACATTTGTTATTTATTTTATTTAATTAGCATTTATTTAGTTAGTTTTTTATTTTTATTTAATATAACTTACATTAATTTACATACATTTTTACATAAATATTTATTTTACAAAATTATAATGTATTTCAAGTAGCCTTGATTTGAAAATCAGATAATCGTGATTTTAAAAAAATAATAATAATAATAATCTATTCACCCTATTTCATGCATGAGCAAAACTAACATTAGCATAATATCAGCCTAATTTAGAATTTGGGTTGCACCTCAAATTTTAGTCCCATTATAAATAATGACAAATAATATTACATTATGCTGCTTTGACTTGGAACTTGGAGAAAATGTGCTGAAAAAACTTTAAAAGTCTCTCAGATTTAAAAAGTCTCTCAGATCATTCATTGGTCTCTCAGCACAGAAGATACCACCTTTACACAAAAGTTCTCCCAGTTTGCACAATTTCCTCAAATCTTTGTGTTTCAGAGTCTCGTGCTTCCCTTATCTACAGCTGTCCTCCACTGGAGGTTCTTTCAGGGATGTGATTTCTGTGGTGGACTAATAAGATTGAATTGGTGTGAGTTGGCTTCTCGTCGATCTTCTCCATGTGCAAACGGAGAGGGAGAGAGTGGCAGGAGAACACCTGCAAGCGGATTAATGAGGGAGAGACTGCTCTCCGAGCTGCCCATCCTGCTCCCTCTAATTAATCCTGCTGGTCATTAGCAATAACGGTTAGCTTCATTCGAATAGCAGGCATTTTATGTTATCTCCATACTGAAACTTGCACAGTAACTGTGCCCTGATTAACATACAGGCTGAGATGATGAGGGCAGAGGTTATAAATTCTGTCATTATTTACTTACTCATTTTAACCGTTTCACTATGCTATTCTAAACCTGTATGCTCCTATTTTTCTATAAAAAAAATACATATAAATTCAAAGTGACCATTTCAGCGAAGGCATTACACTACTTGCTCACCAGTGGATCCTCAGCAGTGAATGGATGCCGTCAGAATGAGAGTACAAACAGCTGATATAAACACCACAATAATCCACATGACTCAAGTTCATCAATTAACTGAACTTCACAAGTTAACTTGTGAAGTGAAAAGTTGCGTGTTTGTCAAACAAATCCATCAAGATGTTTTCAAATTCAAACCATCTCTTCAGCCTAAAATACGATCGCTTTGTGTGAGAAATAGACCAAATATAAGTCTTTATTCACTGATTAACTTCCAGTGAGTTGTGAACTCCAGAACCACCTCAAACTAATCATTGACTCATTGAGTTGACTTAAGAACTGATTCAGCAAAAGAATGATTCTTTTGAGCTGTACTTTTGAATGAACTGGTTGATATGGTTCACAAATTGGATGGAACAGTTCATCAATGAATCGTTGGACTGATTCATTCATGAATCAGCATTTACTTACTCAATTATCTGGCCTCAAGTTACCAGCTCACTGCATTAAAAAAAATCAGTTAAGAATAGCTTAAATTAATTTTGGTTATTTTTAGAGTATGGAAATTTTGTTTTGTATGGAAAAGATGCTAAGATTCTTCAAAAGACCAAATGGGTCCAAAAAAAGACCAAACAAGTCATATGGGTTTAGAATAACACAACAGCGAGGAATGAACTATCTAAACGAAACTAAACATGGCTATTTCCGTTTGTGAGTATGTGTGTGTGCACGATAGGATTTAAATAAATCTCTTAACACCCCCCTACACACAGACACGTACACACTTTCTGTCTTTCTCTGTATGCTTGCCTTATTGCTGTGCTCATGGCAGATGAGAAGCAACTCCACACAGAGAAGAGGAAGAATGAGAAAGGACGTGTGAGGGAGAGACTGAAGCGGTGAGGGAGGGAGCCGTCACACAGAGCGCTTCCTAAAATCATGTTACTGTGTCATTATCCCACCTCTGCTCTCTTCCCAGCAATCATATTTGGAGAACATCTTTCAGGAGCTCTCAGTGCCACAACAACTGGTAAGCATGGCTAATGGAAATTTAATCAGTGACAAGAGTGGAGAATCAGTCATAATGCATGTCAAACTGAATGCACCCCGATAAGGAATAACAGAGAGATGCAAATAGTGGTTAAGGGAGGCTTCGCTGACAGACTGATAATGCCCTCGTACTTCCTGCGGCAAGCGCCGAAGGCTGTTTTATGTTTTTGGGTGTTTTATTTAGAGCGTGGTTTATGAATGTTTTTTTTTCTGATTGATTTTAATGCTGCAAATATGAGCACTCCAGCAAAACCAGAAGGCACAAGGATGCAAATAGCCCTCTGTTTATGTTTTTTCATTAAAGCAATAAGAGACAATCTAATTAGGACATCAAGATTTCAAGCAGTTGTTCCTTGGCTGCTTGTTTGTTTGGTTGGTTTTCATTTTTCATACTTTCTCCGGGCAGAACCTTGTAAGATTAAA